AATTAATAGTTTAGAAGATATTTAATATTTTATGTTAATATGTATCAAAATAAGGTATAGAATTTTTTACGACCTTTACTTTTTTATTATCTCTTTTATTATTATCTTAATACTTTCATATGCGTAATAAATGGAGAAATGACATACATACTTTTACATATTATGTAAAAGAAATTATATATTTCTATTTATAAAGATGGAGGTAGTTTTTATATTTTTTTGGCGTCTTCATCCAGAAAAAATATACTGTCACCAAAATATGTCTCCCTCAAAATCGTTCCACTTTCATTTGAAACATTTTTTCGTATCATTAATAGTTTCGGAAAAAATTGACTGTATTTATTAGAATGGACTACTCTGTATAATTTGCGGAATACCTTGTATATATTTGTGTGTATATATACAGGATGTTTCTCGAATCATTTTATATGAGTTTTAATTTTTTTTTACGTATTTTGACGGTTTTTACTATTTTTATAAATGCATGTCCCTGTACATGTTTCCTACAGTTATGTTTTGTTTATGTTTATTATACTGGTTTAAATATTGATGATAAATTTGTGGATGATGTAAGTATTGTATTTGTGATTAATTGAATTATTTCAAGATCGTAATATAATTAATTTGATAAATAATGTTATATTGATAAATTCGTCTTTTATGTACTATAAGGAAACAGAAAAAAGTATACAGTTCAGTTTAAAGAACATAACTTATTCAAAACATTTTATTGTCAGTCCAAAATAAGTCAGTCCGGAAATATCTAAAAAATTTGCGTGATATTCCATATATATACAATATTACATGTATAAGACATTGATTACGGCAGGTCTTAATACTAATACTGTATTTTAGACTCGTATTTATCGAGTCGAGTTTTATATTAAACTGTAGTATATTTCAAATTTAAGTATTGTCTTAAGTTGTTACGACTCAAAGAGCTCCATTAGCATTTTAAAACATTACGTAAGACGATGTATGAATACACTTCATATTTTCTATATATTAACAGTATATGAATACTGGTCTTAGAATATGTATGTATCAGGTTATAAATATGCTCAATAATAGCCTGAGTTTAGTCATCCTGCCAGTAATCGGTACGGATGACCTAACTACTTACTTATCTTGGAGCTACCAACGTTTCAGAGAAGCATTGAAAATGAACGTGTCTATATCGATACCGAAAATATTTCCTTGAACCCCGTAATCAAAACTCGACGTGACTCCCATGCAAATTTACGCGCGCATATATTATGCACATAACGTACGTATACGATAGCCGTTGTAACTATGTTGCAGATATTTTTAAAAGTATTGCATCAATGCTATGCAATATTGTTATACCATGGAACAACGAAAACGTTATGCAAGATGTTACATGCGTCTCCTTCTCTCTTTGTTTTTCGTGATGTGAATCAGAAGCGCATAATATGTGATGTAATAGTATCTCTTCACACAATGACTACTTCTCTATATTAATATTCGTCGCAATATGAAGGCCAAAATGAGAAAATATTCTCATGGAAACTGTCATAATAGATTTACACAGAATGAATCGCATATAACACGCAAACGATCCTAAGTGTATTCGATAATACTGTAAGAGCTTTTTGCGATTTAAATTTGAATTTGGTGAACATAGGTTATATACATATAGAATATTTTAAAGCTATAAAATATTCTTAAAGTAGTTGATTTTTTTATTAATTTAGAATTTTTTTGCTACGAAAATGTCAAAAGATGTTCGTTTTATATAGTTTACTAATTTTTTAAATAATATTTTTTGTGTCTTATATAAATTAACACAATGCCTTATAACACAATGTCTTATATAAAAATTTTCTTAAATTAAAAACAATACAAAAAGATAAATATAGCAGGCTAATGAGAGTCAGCAAAAAACGGCGCAATTATTTAGTGAACAATCAATAATCAGATTGATGTCTTCTTTATTTTGAACGTTTCGACTCTCTTTGGAGTCCTCTTCAGCAAGAATAATACAAGTACAATTAGCTTACATGTCCATAATGTTTAAGTCACTCGCAAATTAACAAAGATGCAGCGTTGTTAATCTGACATTTTTTTAAAAAACAAATCTTATTAGAGTAATATATGCGTAAATTTAAATGACTTACCATTACGGAACATGAAACATTGCACTGAAGTTTTGTTGAACATGTTAAAACTTAAAAAGTAGAAGTGTTAAAATCAAATATAAAAATCATACATTTTTAGAACACACGTCCGTGTACGACGACATGTCACTCAGATATGAACTATTCTCGAAGTAAGAGGTCACACAATAAACATTAAGGCAAATTAAGGCAAATTTGCAATTATGAAGAACAAAATATTGTACATTGTACAAAATATTGTAAATTGTACATTGTTATTAAGTCAAAACGATAAGAACCACAATAAATTATTGTGTAATAATTAAAAACTATCAAAATTATTAGAATTTTAAAATAAAGAATTACATAATAAAAAGAAAAAAAAAGAAAAAATTTAATTTAAAAAAACATTTCGTTAAAATTGTTATATTTTCGTCAACTAATAAAATTTTTGTCAAATTAAATTAATAAACTATAAATTTAAATTACTATATAAGTCAAGAGAAATTTTCAAGCATCGCCGCATAGGTATGATGCAGTCCTTCTGTATCTGAACATAAATTAAGACCATTCTTTTGCATGTGTATGAATGCCATTCCTAAAGTCTTGGAACTCTTCCAAATTAGTCTTTTGTTCAAAAATTTCTTGTCGAAAATTTAGACGTTGTCCCAATCGAAGTCATGTGAAAATTCAATACAATGCTCAGTAATTACAGAGTGAGTATCAGTGTTCCAATTTATATGTCTATAGTGTGCAGATATTCTACTGGAAAGTTTCCTACATGTTTGTCCTACATAAGATGCATCGCATCTTTACAACAAATCTTATAGACTGCATTTTTATTATCGAATTTTGGGAGAGCGTTCTTTTGTACTTTTATGAATCTATTTAATTTGTTAAAGCTAATTTTATGTTGATGTCTTTACAAATCGAAATGAAAATTTCTCTGACGTAGAATCAATATATGATAACAGAAACCAAGATACACCATCACTAACTATATTGTTATTTGAGACATTATTACTAAAAAATTTTTTATTAAACCAATATTTTAAACGATTATTGATCGTGTTAGAAACAAATTCTGCCGGATAGTCATTATTTAATAATGTACAAATAATGAACTTAATATTGCTATAGTGAAATTTTGGATCTGAAAGTAACATAGCTCTGTCCAACATACCCGTTATGAGAAATAGGATGTGACGATAAATAGTTCAGGTACCGTCCTGAGAATCTTGGTTTGTCATACCAATTTATTTCTAAACAGTTATTGTTGTTAATAATGGTTACATCTAAGAAATTAATACTATTGCCTCCTATTTCCAATGTGAATTGCAATCTTGGATGAAACGAATTAAAAATTGTCAAAATAAAATCAATCATATCAGATGGGACAGTCGTCATGATATCATCAACATATCTGAAAAGGCAATTGAAAGCTTAATAATGCTATTGCTTTAGTTTCTAAATCTTACAATTATTGTTATTGTTTTTTTAATTGACTTCAAAGTTGAATTGTTAAAAGTTAAATAAAGAATATATAACTTTTATTATCAAAAGTAGCACATGTTTTATAACGTCTGCGATAACATTGTTACAACTTAAATCACATCATTTTTGTCTAGTTTAATGCTATCGTTACAAACGTCAATGTGACAAAATTACAAAGTTACAGTTATTCTTCATTAAGAATTTAAAATAAAATATGCTTGAGAACTAGCTCGGCAAAGTAAGAGTGTCCCAAGAATGTTCTGTATTAACTTATAGCGATATCCAAGAATACGGTTAATGAACGTACAATGCGATAAAAGTTTTGAAAGTATAATATTACATATGATTTGATATATAATATTACATATGACAATGGATAAATAACTACTAATGAATGAAGTGTTTAGGATGTGTATCAGTACGCTTTATGCATCCTTTGTGTAGTGTTGAGGAGCATATGAGAAACATTAATGAAAAAAAATTTTAAACGTGGGAAATGTAACAGATGTATTTTAGGGACATTTTATGGAGCGTTTGGGGAGAGTTCGTGGAGCGTATGAATATTCAAAATCATTAAGGGTAAATGAAAAGTCAATGAAGTGTTTAAGGGGATGTTGGAGTGTTCTGTTTTATCATTAAATTTTAAAAACGCCTTTCTCGTAACCGTGTTTATGGATTGAAAAATCCTTCTCCACAATTAAAGTATCGACAACAACGCAAATCGCCAACTACATTTGAATACGAAAAACGAAAGAAAATTAAAGACTTACAGTTTTGTTATCGGCTTCTGTAGTCAACACATCACAATATGTGTTGCATATAAGAGTTTCAGATCTTGCACGTTCATAAAAAGTAGCTGGCGAATTGCGGAAAACCTAAACGAACAATCCTATGCTTTCAGAAACGCGGTAGGAGTTTTAGTATAAGAGAAAGACGTATACAAAAATTTCGTTTGTACATTCTGTCAAAAAAGTACCGGGAATTGATCATTTAAAAAGCCCGCTTAAAGGAATTGTCAAAATTCTTTTTGTCGCTAAGTTGGCATAACTGTCCTCTATACTGACGCGGAGTTGGAGTGCCATCTGTCATTTAATGTGATTATAGTGCTTGATTTTATCAGTTCATCTCAAGTGTGTTTTGCGATTTTTACAATGAATGAAAAGATCGAACAAAGAATTTGTCTCAAATTTTGTATTGCAAATGGAATTTCGTGTGCCGAATCGCTGAAGATGTTACAGAAGGCTTACGGTGAATCGACTTTATCAAAAACACGTGCATATGAATGATACAGTGCATTGAAAAGCGGTCGAGATGTGGTGAAAGATTTGCCTCGCTCTGCCTCGGCCATCAACATCTTCAACTGAAGTTAACATCGATAAAGTGAAGGAAATGGTGATTGAAAATCGTCATTTCAGTTTGAGAGAGATAGCCGCTGAACTTACGGTGTCTCACGAATCAATTCGTACCATTTTACGCGATTGTTTGGGCATGAAACGCGTTGCCGCTCGACTAGTTCCGAAAGACCTCAATTTTCTTCAAAAACTCAATCGCGTAAAGGTCGCTGAAGACATGTTAGAACAAGTTAATTCCGACCCCACATTCATAAAACGCATTATAACTGGTGATGAGACATGGGTTTACGAGTTTGATATGCAAATCAGTCAACAAGCTTCGGAATGGCGCCTTCCAACTGAGCTAAAACCGAAAAAATCACGTCAAAGTCGATCAAAAGTCAAAGTGATGTTAACTGTTTTCTTTGATTGTCGTGGTGTTGTGCACTCGGAATTTTTGCCAGAAGGTCAGACGGTAA